ACTGAGCATTTACTATGTGTGAAGTATTATTCTAAATGTTTTAAATAACTTTTCTCATTTTATCCTGAAAACAATCTGTTAGATAGGTACTATTGCCACCCTTTTGCCAATGAAGAAATAACGGCTCAAGTAACTACTTTGCTGAAAGTCACACATCTACCAGTCAGGTTCCAGGTCTGACTTGAGAGGCCAATCTTTTAAAGACTCTATATATACAAGACCTCTATAGGCTGGGCGCCATGGCTCACACCTGTAATCCTAGCACTCGGGGAGGCCCAGGTGGGAGGATCGCCCAAGGTCAGGAGTTCGAGATCAGCCTGAGCAAGAGCGAGACCCCGTCTCTACTAAAAATAGAAAGAAATTAGCCAGACAATTAAAAATATATAGAAAAAATTAGCCAGGCATGGTGGCACATACCTGTAGTCCCAGCTACTCCGGAGGCTGAGGCAGGAGGATCGCTTGAGCCCAGGAGTTTGAGGTTGCTGTGAGCTAGGCTGATGCCACGGCACTCTAGCCCAGGCAACAGAACGAGACTAAAAAAAAAAAAAAAAAAAAAAAAAACCTCTGCAAAGCCTACAAAACATATCTGAGGAGAGAGAACCAGAAAACAGTGAGGTCTCACTACATCAAAGATGTGTGTTTATTCTGTGGTCTTGTACTGGAATCAGAGGTATCATTATGAATTCATGGTTTTTAACATATATATAAAGAGAGATTGTAAGAAACTGATAGAGAAGTGGGTATGTGTCTGTGTATATACACATATATTTCCTAGTTCTGTCTGCTGAGAGGGCCTACTGACACCCCCAGTAGCAATGAGCATGCCAAGCACCCAGATCTGGGTTTCTAAATACCATTCTCCCATACAAAGAATCAGAGCTCCTTGGAGAAATGGTTGATTCCAGGGTTGGGGCAAGGAAAGAAGAAAATGAATCTGCAACATTTCGTGGTACCAAAAAGTAAAAGGGTGCTCAAGAAGTGATGGAGACATGTTGAAAGGAGATACAAGCCAGTTTGAATGGGCTCCTGCTGGCCAAATCTGGGGTAATTTCAGCAAAGTAAATAGTAATAAAATAGTTATAAATCATTATAACCCATAGAATAAAATGTATATTCATTAAGTCCATACTATTATAAACAAACAGCTGAATAAATAAATACATAAACAAACAGTGGAGAAAGAAAAGTTCATTATTATAGTAGAATTCAATCAATTAATAAATGTAGAAAAATGTTGAAAATTGAAATCACCTTTTGGCAAATGTCACAATAATAATTTTTCAGGCCAGAGTCACCAACAGATGCTAAAATTAGGGGACAAAAGTATGATGAGAAGCAGGATATTTATTTATTCTGGGAAGAGGCCAGGAAAAAAAAAAGAAAAAGAAACAGGATATTTACACTATCTCACAATAATGTCCTACATAGTCTCACAAGATCTGCTCACTTTGTAAATTGCAAAGGGAAAAAATAGTGACTTTACAGTGGATAAACCTAGCAGACAGCATCTTAACCAAGTTATCAAGGTTAGCTGAAGGTAAAGAGTCTCAGGTCTTACATATACAGACTTCAAAAGCCAAATTAAAATCCAGGAAAAAATATACAAACTCTTACACAGTCACAGGACATATACATATATGCACAAGACTAAAGATATATAGATAGCTGAGTGAATAAATGTTGATATGATGGCTAGGTAAATTGGTAGAAACAATAAAACTGAATTGAACATTTTAAGCAAAATGTGCCACCATACATACATACCCCACTTTTTCACAATAGATATGTTCCTGAAAACTTCAGTGTATTCAAAATTAATGCGGAAACTGAGTAATTAAAGAATCACAAGGCAAATCTTTCTTCAAAACAAGTCATCTACACAAATTATAGTTGTTTTTTAAATCTAACTTTTTACATATTGTGATTGCATAAAATCACACAATCAGCAACAGCAATTACTTTTAGACTGCTTTTAAATTATCTCACTCTATATAGATATAGAGACCAAACTCTCATCTTTTTATTCTAAGGCCAAAGTTCCTTCCATTATACCATGCTGCTTCTCCTAACATAAGCAGAAAAACATGTATTATCATTTCCATTTCACCTCCTGTGTCCAAAAACAAAATAGTAGCAGCGATCCAAATCCTTTGAATGCCAAATAGACCTCTATAGATCACATACAAAGGAGGCAGTATGGGACAGTTGTTAAGGATGAAGAATCTGGAGTCAAACTGCCTGGATTCAAATTTTCTATCTCCACAACTACCTGTGTGATTTCTGGTAAGTTACTTAACCTCTATGATTTGTGGTTTTTGTTTGCAAAGTGGGGATAATAAAGGTATATACTTCATAGGTCTGTTGTCAAGATTAAATATGTTAATGTATATTACTATATTAGCACAGTGTCTGACACACAGTAGACACACAGTAGAAAATTTAAACTATAATGATAAATGATGGCAATGATGGTACATTCTTCCTATGGAGCAAAATACTTCATAGAGGAAGAAATGTTTCATGGCTGCAAACCACACTGCTGCCCTTGAATTCTTGCCGCTGGTCACAGGGAGATAGTTCCAATTTAGGAGAAACCTATCCACTCTACTACATCAAAAACAACTTGCTACATTTGTACAGTAGTAGTATAATTTTACATAATATCCATATCCATAAATCAAGTGCATATCATACTGACAGTGAGTCAGTAAAGGTATCACCTTTACATAAAAAATACATTATTTTTATCACCAGAAATGACCTTTCCAACCTAAAGCTGTCTTTTTCTCTTATTGCTAACCTTTTGGCACAGAGGTTACTTTATTCCACCTAGTGAACACTCTACCTAAAAAAATCTTCCACATGTTTGTGATATCCCAATTTGGCATGACTTCAGGGATAACAAAATCATTTATTTATGAAAAAGTAAGGCAATTTAAGTATCAACACTCTTCCTAGTATAAAAGCCCCAGTATTAGACTACTTCAGTCAATAATCAGCCCCACTACCCTCCAGTTTTACTCTGGAAAAGCTTAACCAATATCCCCAGCACTAGTATGAAGAGCAGATACCATTCATATTTTTGAGATGATTAAAATATTCATCTAACTAGAATACTGATGTGTGAAGCAGGAAAAACAAACCCCTGGTTTCAACAGAGGCACAATATCCTAATGATAGGAAAATGGGATGTAAAGTGTTCTTTAAAAAATTATATATGAGGTAAAAGGAAAAATCTGTAATTACTTCATACACACTCAGTTGTTAAAGAATCCAAGAAAACAAGCTTGCTCTCAAGGTTTGTCAATAATAAAGAAATCTCATTTTAATATAAATTGATGCATAGTGTTGCTATGCATTCCTGCATAACTGTTATCTGGTGCACATTTATTAATAGCAGTGTCAAAAAAAAGAAATAGTTAATCAAACATCCACAAAATCTTTGCCCCTGGGCCAAATGCCATAAGCAGTAGGCACCAAAAGGATGTTTTTAAAATGAACTATTTTCAACAGCACAACTGTAGCTTTATCTGTAGCCCTACTAACTGGCTAAACTTTACCCCATTAAGATGCTCTGCATCAAAAAAACAATTTTAAATCATTTATCTACTGTGATGGAGAAAAATTATGGCATTCATAATTAAAAATATTTGCTATGCATGGTTTTTCAGCAGATTTGCTATAATTATGTGATTCTTAGAGTAACATGAAAGTTAGTTTTCATACCTTGAGTATACACTTTCTGAAGGCTAAAAAGAGGGCAAGAGATGCTGAGTGCTATAGGGAGGCTAGACAGCTAACTAAAAAGTGGACATAGATAAACTATAACATAGCAGCTATTTATAAAGAATTGATAGTCACTCAACCATGTGAAGGCCTAAGCCATGATCTCATATTAAAATGTTTTAAAAACCCTCCATAATAAATAAAATAAAAATCATCCATTATAATCATTCAAATACAATATTTAAATAATTTGTCGCACTTTTTTTTAGAGGTTATGTGAAGTTAAAGATGAAGGGCTTCAGGCTGGAGAACATTTTCTCTGACAAAGCCATTCATTCCTTTACATCTACCTCCCATCCCCAGTAGGATAGTGGGTGGGACTACCCAGATACCCTTCTAGGAGATATATTGGGGTTTAATTCTACATGCCTAAAACTGAATGGAACTTTCTGCTCTGTCATTTCATTTGTACATCCTCCCTCATTCTCCTTTAAATTGGAACACTGATTCTCCTTTGAAAAAGAAAATTATTTTCCTTTAAATGGGTGAGGGGCAATTTCTCAATTTGTTTAGGTCCCTTCGTGAGTTTTTTTTTTAAAGTAAACAAACAAAAACCCATAACTTAAAAAAAAAAAAAAGACGCAAAAGACTTGAAGCCTGAGGCCATCAGTCTTTACCTCACTCCTCTTGGTATGTTACCTTAGCATTTGTAACAGAGATGTCAGAAAGAGAAAGCAGGTCAGTGGCTTTACTGACCTGAGGTGGGGGTAGCTTCATGTTGCTTCAGAAAAGAGCAAAAGGGAAGAACTTCATGGGAGTGGGGGTTAACACTTTGATGGAAGCTGAATTTTAGAAGAGCCAAAATATTAAACTATAGACAAAGTTTAAAGAGTGCGTGGGCTGGGTACAAGTAGTGAAAAGGTTGGCCGGCAGGCAGGGAAACACCCGAGGGCGGAGAGTAGGGAGGAAAAGTTTTAAATACCCACCAGAACCTAATGAGCCATTAATAGGTGTCCCCCACCCCAGGCTTTGCTCTTGCACCCAGAGCAACTAGTTGCAAGGAAGCAAGCAGCCCTATTTTTGAACATTTCAACCTCTCCCTTGGACTTCAGAAGGCTCGAGTTACCAGCGTTGTAAATAATGTTTCTTTCTAAATAAGTGAAAGCAAATTTGAATTCCCTAGCCAAGGCCAACGAGAAAGGAAGGTAAAGGGACCCAAAAAAAGTGATTTCAGAGTAAAGAGTGCGGTGATGGGCGGGGGGAGGAGGACTTACCGCAGCCTCTGCAGGCTGCCCCCAAAGACTCAGGGCCAGTAAGAACAAGCCGGCAGCCAGGCTCACTCCAAGCAGTTTCATTCTTCTCCAGCTCCCGCAGCTCCTTCAGCACCCGCACGAAATTCCCGGCTGGCTCTGACCAATTGACATATCTTGAGGGTTTATAGGGAGAGAGCTAGAGCCGGAGAGAAAGAGTGAGAGTGTCCCAATTGTGCCAGTCGACTTGGGTGAAGAGAAAGAAGCTTTTTAAGAGTGGAAGGGGGGGAAAAAAAGCTATTCTTCTCTCCCCCCTCCCCTCCCCAAAGCCGATCTCTCGGGAGCACTTTTCCCTTCTGTCCAGACTTGCAAACTTTTTCCTCACTCAAGTCCTACAGATCTACTTTCCTCCCTCTCTTCCCCCCGCACCGCCCCCCTCCCAGCAGCACAGGGGAATTTGAGTATCACTCCGCCACAGCTTTAGACTGCACCAGCAACCTGCGAGGGAGTGACGCCCAGTTATTTGGAGGGGGGAAACTTCCAGACCAGTTGACTGAGCACCATGAGTCCAACCGTGAAGCTTTGCTATTCGTTCATTTGCACTTTCCGTCGATAGTACTCTTCCCGGCCCAGTCTCACTCTCATTGGTTTGAGCTCCAAAGCCAATTACAAATAGACCTGAGCTGGGACTACTTTTTTAGCGGATGGATCTCAGAGTGGGCGTGCTTTTTATTGTTAATCATTAGAAACAAATTTTGGTCGCTGTTCTCTAGGCTGCAGGTCGTCTTTGCCTTCCAACTGCTCACAGGAAAGAGTGTTTCTACATACAAGGAGGAGATGTGAAAATATTGGAAATATATATAATTAAATATATGCTTATAAACGAAGAAGAAAATAAATGTATATGTGTGTGAATAGTTTGTGCATGTTATGTACATACAAGATTTGGGAGCATTCAGTAAGTATTAGTAATCATTATATGGTTGAATGTTATTGTAATACAGTCATATCTTTTTATTTAGCTACATTGAATGCCATAATTAATATTTACCTCCTATATCGAGCTAACATAAAAGGTATTGACTCCCATCGTAATTACATTTCAGAAGAATTTAGGGCAAGGAATTAAATAACTTGAGTGCAATTTTCCTTAGAATTAACACAAACACCTAATTGGAAATATTTAAATGGAGTTAATAGTTGAATTGATGTCTCAGGAATAAAGTAGACTTGGACATTACTTTGATAATTCTGATACATACATTTTTTAAAGTATCAAAAGGCCAAGAAAATATTTCACGTGGACCCCTTGAAGGGTCTTTCAGGAGTTTTCTGAAGAATTCTTCACATTTCTGTTGTCTCAGGCCCTGGGATTAACCACTTTGGAGTCTTTTAAGGTTTTGGATCTATTTCACGGAGGCCCACTCATTCTTAGGTTCTATTGAGCTTAGAGTAGATTTATAACTCCAGAAACTCCCTCCTCTTCCCAAGAGCTTAGTGTACAATCAATTAGAATGAGTGTTGTATGCATTTGGGCGTGTGTGCAAGAGCACTTTTGGGCCCATCTGTCTATGTAAAAGTAGTATGCCTAAGTCTATTTATGTGTAATTTAGTGGTTTATGGAAGTGTATGATGCATAGTTGCTTAGGTCTCAGTGTAAAGGTCTCTAGGGACCTATGTGTGAAGCTGTGGAGATAACTTGGGACTGTTGCGTGTAGAGGTGCCTGAAAGTGAGAAAGACTACCGGCTGCCCAAGGTAGGGGGGATGATTGACAGCAGACCGCCCCGCCCCTTTCCCCTCCATTCCTTCCTCTCCTGGTGCATGGAACTATCTCCTGAGTGCGGCAAGTTGTAACGGGCACCGCTGAGCTTGTTTCCCTTTGGGGCACTTCTTATCTAGAAGCTGAGTTTAGTTTCTTCCAAACTGGGCCACTTCGCTCCCCTACCCTGTCCTGAGTAAGGAAGTAGCCGCCAAGCATCAGCGGAGCCCCGATGAGCCGGGGCCGCGGAGCCGCTTAGCAGTCTCCCGGGACCCAGCTCCGGAGGAGCGGCAAGCATGCACCCTGGGTGAGCTGTTGCTGCCCCGAGCTCCCCTCCTCTTTCCTACTTCGGGCTACTTTGCCAGGCCGGGACTATACTTTTACTTCTGTCAGTGCAGAGAAAGTGGGAGCAGGCATCAAAAAGGGGTTGGGGGGCTACCGGCAGACTCAAGACCCCGAAGCCTAGAGAACCAATATTACTCACCCTCCCTCCCATTTCAGGTTGTGGCTGCTCCTGGTTACGTTGTGCCTGACCGAGGAACTGGCAGGAGCGGTGAGTCTCTTCTCTCGACCCCTTTTCTTCCTCCTCCTTCGACCCTCTCCCCATCCCCACCTCTTGTGTTCATGTTAAGGGGTTGCAGAGGGTTGTACTGCGAGACAGAGTTCACACCACTCTCCTTTCTAATGGAAGTTAATGGGCTTCTTGAAGAGGAATAGAACAATGTCAGGTTAGTGCTTTGGGAACCCAGGTATCTTCCAAAACCTCGGTAACGGGTTGGGAAAATAAAAGTAGTCGACACAAGATGCACACATTTCTGAGCCTCTTCCCCAGACAATTTAGGATGACTGGCATCTGATACCTCCCTCTGCATCGATCTTCAACACAGAAGAAAATAATTTTCCCTGATCTTCAAGAACGTGAATTGGCACACAAGTCTGAGAGTGGGAGGAGAACACAAGGAGTGGGACTTGAAAGTGCCGCGAATGTTATGGGGATTAAATCTAAGTATTTGCTTGTGAGTCCTTTGACAGTACCAGGTGACAACATCTGGATTCTTTAACTATCTGAATTGAACTGATACCACTAGATGATGTTCAATTTCTGTCTGATGTTTTCTTTTACGGATTTTCTGAGTCATCAGAGAGTTAAAAGTTAAAGTGGTTAGGACAGAAAAAAAATTCTAAAAGTTAAACATTTCATAGGCCGTTTAGATATCATCTATCAAATTAGCTAGGGGCTGCATGCAAAGAAATTTCTATAGACATCTGGTCAAGAAAAGTTTAATGGATCCCGGAAAGTAGAGAAGTCTCCAATGGAATTGCTAGGATAATTTCACAAAGATGAAGTGACCCCAATAATCAGAGATGCTGGAGTTTTCCTGTCACACTAGCTACTTATGCTGGCAGAAAGAAAAACTGTCAAGTTTGAATACGCAGTTGTTAAAACATCGGGTACTATTTCACTGCTGTATATTTTAAAAAATAATAATAGCCAAAGTCATTCACCATACAGATAACATGAATACATATTCCAAATATTAATCTTGTAGGTTTTGATCATTTTAACTGGCTCTACCTTTTTACTATTTTAAATATTTTAAAATACTATTTATACTGCCATACTTAATTCAACCTAGTAAAATCACCTAACATGTTTATGAAAAAATGGATTACTTTATCCTGGCATATGATGTCTTTAAGAAAATACCAGAATGAAGTAACATGATTTCTTTTATGAAGAGAGGGCAATGTTAGAAAACATGAAATCCAACATCTTGTGACCCTTAACTCAGGACATCGGCTCTTATATAAGTAAATTCTAGACTTTGTAAGCAGAAATATTGATCTAGGGCTCTGTGCACTTCTCCATCTGATTCCTTCAGTATACAAGTTTAGTTATGTGTTACCTCGAGGCTCAATAGTACAGTTATTGAAAATGCCAGGTTTTGATTAGTTAACAGTTTGTCCAAGAATCTTGCCACTTGTAAAAATATCGTGCTTGGGCAGAATACCCTCCAGCAAAATATTTATTTTCAGACTCTGAGTGATCTTATTCAGTGTACTTTTGGGAAAAGCACTACAGATTATTCCAGATAGCTGAAGACTTCTCAAACATTGCATTCTATCACTTAATATCCGTAAAAGCCGCTGAAGGATTATGCTTTTAGTTCTTACAAGTATTGAAGTGAGTCCCCAAAATCAAGCATTACTTTGGTGTATGGGTTTTAGACTATGTTTCATTGTTTTACAATGTCACCTGATATGTCAGTGTGATTGACCCTGGTAAGCCTAAAATAAACCTTGAGATCCACTAACAATATTTTATTTTTTGCCTTATTTAATTCCAGAGCCACTTCCTTCACTTGTTGTTTACTTATGCACAACATCTTTGAGGTTATAAAGCTATTTTTTTTTTTTTTAGTTTTGGAAAACTGGCAAAAAGAAAGAGGAGAGTCACAGGATAAATTCTCAGAAGATGACTTTTCTGAAGGGAAGTTTTTCCTTTTTCTTTTACACCCTTGGCACTGGATTTTCATCTATGTTGGCTGGTTCTCATCTTCTACTCTCAATCCCACTTCACCCTCTAGATTTGTAGTGCTTTTCGCCTTTCAGATGGTTTTAAACATTTGAATTCTCTGTACCTCGTTTGACTAATATTAATGAAAATAGCTATTATAAATAGATTGACAGAAACTGTGTTGTGTTTCACTGTGAGAAAGTGTCTTTACTGTGAAAATTAAGTTTCTAATAATGGAATATTGGTAAGCATTTAAAGATAGGGTCATTTAGGTGCTTTTGAGCTCTTTTTTTTTCAGAGTTCATAAAACATTTTTATATAAAGGTATGGAAAGCTAGATGTTAGAAACCAGGATTTAAAATGTTTCCATTAAATTGATTTTAAAGAAGTGATGATCTTCATTCAGGTGAAATATTTGCACAATTTATCAGAATAAGATTCAGCCTAGGATTTCAGAATATTTATGATCGTCTTCGGTTACTAAGTGCTTAACTATCCAAGGGGCTGTGCTAGGCGAGGCATGGCATGCAAAGATTTATTTAAACATAGTTCTTAACTCTCTAGGAATTTTCTTTCTCAGACAATGGTGGTCATCATGTTCTTTAAAAGATAAGATGCTTGATGATAAATTATTATCCGCATGTACTTGCATTGTGTTAGAGAAAAGACTGGAAAGATAAAAATCGTACCATAGGCCAACATGTCTAGGAGAAAAAATATATCCCAAAGTAGTCAGGGTTCTTACATTTTCCTCCCGCTTTGCCCCTGTCCACATGTGCTTTTGTGGAAGGCTCTAATACAACCAAGCATATTTAAAGTCAAAAGCCTAGTAGGAGACTTATTTGGTTTGGGAGGAGGGTAAGGGGAGAAATCATGTCTATTGTCCCTTCTGCAGAGAGCATAGGTAAAATGCCATTTGCCACATTCAAATCAAGATCTGATTGAAATATCAGCTTCTTTCTTTAAAGTTGTAATTTTCCCAGGTTGGTACTTTCCACTGTGATTTTCACAGTCTTATAGCAGTCATCAAAGTATGAATATCATGTTAAGGGAATTCAGAGATGGATAAAATCCCTTCCTACTCTAAAGATCAAAAAAAGTATTTACCTTGTTTGGGGCTGTGTCTCTATGAATTCTTAAAGTAGTCTTCTGCTTTGCCTGTTAGCAAATATCCTATATCAGCTAGCTATAAATAATTACAATATATAATATATATATGTGTGTGTGTATATATATATATGTATACACGCATACACACATACATAGAATTTGTATCTTGCAGTTGGGTGTGATGGTTCTCATCTGTAGTCCCAGATACTCAGAGACTGAGGCAGAAGGATTGCTTGAGGCTAGGAGTTGGAAACCAGCCTGGGCAATATAGTGAGACCTCATGTCTTTAAAAAGTAATAAAAGAATATATATCTTGGTATATATCTTGGGATGACTGAGGATACTGATACAAATGTATGAGTACAGGATTAAGTGAATCATCAAATGACTATGTAAATAGATAATACATTGATGATAATATATTTACAGTATTGGTGGGTCAAATACAAATATATTTTAAAACGAGAGAAGAGGATAATAGATATTATTATTTAATGTGTTAGTAAAGAAACAGATATATTACCATATCAAAAATTTGTTATATATATATATATATATATAATTTGTTTTGAGACAGGGTCTTGCCCTGTTGCCCAAGCTGGAGTGCAGTGGCATGATCATAGCTCACTGTAACCTTGAACTCCTGGGCTCAAGTAGTCCTCCTACCTCAACCTCCTGAGTAGCTGGGACTACAGGCATGTGCCACCAAAACTGGCTAATTTTTCTATTTTTTTGTAGAGATGGGTTCTGGCTGTGTTGCCCAGGCTGGTCTTGAACTCCTGGCCTCAAGCAGTCCTCTAACCTTGTCTTCCCAAAGTGCTGGGGTTACAGGTGCAAGCCACCATGCCCAGCCTTTGTTATATATTTTGATGATTGTATTTCAATGTAATTGATTTTCATTGTAATCCCATGTATTTTATTGTATACTTTTTAGAATATTATTCTAGCCAGGCACAGTGGCAGTCACCTGAAGTCCCAGCTACTCAGGAGGCTAAGGCAGGAGGATCACTTGAGACCAGGAGTTCGAGGCTGTAGTACACTATGATTGTGCCTGTGAGTAGCCACTGCACTCAGCCTGGGCAACATAGTGAGACCCATCTTGGAAAAAAAAAAGAATATTATTCTAAAAAGGAGTTCATAGGCTTCACTAGACTGCCAACATAATACATGGCATTTAAAAAGAGTCCCTAGTTTATGAAATTACAATAACCAAATAGACACTTTCCGAGGTTTTTTTCAGGCATGAGGGGATTTGTACTGAGTATGAGTGCCAACATTCTTTTAGTTTTTAGGGATAGTTTGGAGTCTCCAGTAAATATGCCTACATATTCTACAAGCCCTTAGTCAAGCCAGATCCCTGGAGCAAAGTCTGCTATTGCCTTTATTACTTCATTAATATAAGAATGAAACTGATTGGCCTCAATTATCAATACATATTGATTTTTGCTTACCTGAATTGTGAATAAAGCATCCATATGAATTATGGATAATTCCATAATTTTAGCCCCACACTTGGAGTATAGACTTTCCCTATACTGTATAGGTGACAAGACATACACATATAAAAAGAATATATTAAGAAAGCACCAGGCTGTATTAAACTATCAAGTCCTTTTTAGCTGCCTGAATGTTCCTGTGAGGCAGATCATAGGGATTTAACTTGTTTTAAAGTCCCACAAAATGTAAAAAGAAGAGCTGATAAGCATGCTCAAGAGAAAATGGTCATGGGAAAATTAGCTAAGAGCAATTATCCACTCTTTTATCTTCTTTGATCTATCCCTCTCCTAGGGTTTCTTTTTTTCTTCTACAAACAATATTGAAGTCTCCTCCATTATAAAAACAAATTTTAAAAAAAAGCAAAGCACAGCTTCATTTTCCTAAGTAACTCTAACGCCTTCAATCTCATTACCACTAGATCTCTGGTC